GCGCACACCCCGCGCCCCTGGCCCTCACCCCGAGGCCGCGCGCCCAGCCTCCCGCCCGCGCGTCAGGCGAGGACACCGCTGCTTGGGCGGCCGAGCCACGGGGGGCGTGGACCGGAACGCAGCCCCTTCAGGGACTCGGCCGGCGCCTTCTTCCCGCGAATCGTGGCTCAGGAGTCCCGCGGGCAGGACGTCGCCCCTGTGTGTCCCCGCTGTGTCCTCACTGCCCCGCCAGGAGCCGGCTTCACTGGCTGCCCCCAGTCACCCCGAGCACGGTGTCCGTCAGGGACTGGGCAGTGCCCTCCGGCCCGTCTTTCACGGGAGAAGCGCTGGACGGAGGAGGACATGGTGGTTTTCCCGGAGACGCTCTCCTCACCCTTGCGCGCCCCCAGTCCGCCCTCCCTTTCCCTCCGGCCTGGTCCTCAGGGTCGTCGGTCCCTGCTGGGCAGCCGGGCGCACACGCGAGAGCCACACTGCTATTCTGCAGCAGGAAACAGAAGTACACGGACGGCCACACACGGAGCGTGAGAGGCCCCTTGTTACAGAGGCCAGGGACCAGGCCCTGGGCTTGGGGTTGAAGGTGGGGCCGAGGTGGGGCGCACAGGAAGCAGAGTGGACGGAGCCCAGCGGGCTTGGGGCTGCTCCCCAGGTGGCCCATGTTCCACCCAGAAGCACGAGGAGGAACCCAGGGTGGACTCTGCAGGTTTCTCCTCCTTCCTCACACGTTTGGTTACTGTTTTCCGCTTTGTTACTGTGTTGTCCTCCTCCCCCGCACTGTGACTTTGTTGCTGGTCTCCCCCAGGGCAGAGGTGTGCCCTTCCAGCCTGGACTCCAGTAGCACCTTTGTCACCACACCCACTCCCCTGGGGAGCCCAAAATAGCATGTTGCTCTCTTAAGTCCCTCAGCTGTCCTCTCCCCGGTTCTTTGTGTCCTCATTGTTTTTCCTTTATTCACAGGTAAAGTATTCTTATTTTTCAGAAAACCAGTGTTCTTTTCTTGGCCATGCTGTGGGCCCTTGCCTGCATTTGTCGCCCTGGCAGGAAGAGCCCTGGAGGCCCCATGGGGTGACAAGCCACTCCCAGAGGGTGAGAAGAGCCCATTTCCCACTGGACAACCCCATGCAGGAGAGTGAGAATTCATTGGAAAAGTCTAGATTGTTGGGGGTCGGGGAAGTTCCCAACTGGAAGAAGATGGCAGTTGAAGACATGGGATGGGGGGTGAGTGAGAAAGATTCAAGGACAGTAGGGCACAGAGGCGGGAGTGAGGGAGAAAGGCTGTGGGAAGGACTCTGAAATGCCACAGGGCAGGCACAGGGAGAGAGGATGGAGAGACCCGCCGTGTGGCAGCCAGGGGTGGAGCAGTGCTGTAATTTTAGGTGAGGGGTGATGGCAGGTAGGATGTTTGGTCAGGGTCAGGGGACACCAACTTTCCTGGAGCTTGGCTGGGAAAGGAGGGAGAGAACTACCTGCAAAGGAGGAGCTAGGGGGCTTTTTAGAAGGGACCGGCGTGAGCACGCTGGAGCAAGGCTCTGTGACAGGGCACGCGCCAGAGGAGTGTGCTTGTGACAAAGGTGCACAGCCACATCCATCTGCACACAGAGGCTGGCCCGTGCTGTGGCCTGGAGCACACAGCCCTGCCCTCTGTAGTTCTCACGCCTGAGCTGCATTAGAAGTACTTGTTAATGTGGGGTCCTTACAACACAGATTGCTGGGTCTCACCCCAAATATTTCCAGTTCAGGAGGTCTGGGGTGGGGCCCAAGAATCTGAATTTCTAGCATGTTCCTGGATGAAATTTCTAGCATGTTTCTAACTGCTGCTTAGGAACCCCACTTTGAGAACCTCTATGTGAATTGAATCTTGGCTCCACTCCCTGTTGACTATGAAAGTTGATGAATGTCTCTTAAGTTTCAGGTAACTCATTTGAGTAATACTTTATGGGTTGATGTACTGTCACATGTAGGCTCACTCCTAAGATTTGTAAGGACCTGGGTGGGGGGTTGGGCAGAGAACAAATGGAGCCTCACAAATCCAAATATTGAAACACTAAAACACTGAAAAATTGAAACTCAGGCTAGCAAACTCATCAATCTCTTTTCTCTTGCCTTCAGAAGGACAGTATCATGAGAACCATGGTCACCCCCAGGCCACTGCACCTTGAGAGGACATGGCAGGTGTTTCTCTGAGGCTGCTTCCACAGCCAGGTCTCAATGAGGCCATGGAGCCACCCAGGCGGGACTGAAGGGGATCCTTTTCCACTGAAATGGAACTAGGTTCTCCACCAGGCCTCTAAGGTGAGAGGGCCTAATCTGGCAGAGAGCCACCCAGTCTCTGAACTGAGCTCACTGGGCCTACAGACTGCCTTTGTACTCCTTGCAGCCTATGGCAGGTTCTGCACTCTTTATTACAGCAAGGAAACGTCTGAGGGAAGTGGTGACGGAGGCTGGGAGAGAGGAGGAGAGCCAGCTGGAGAGGGAGGCCGGGAGGCAGGTGGAGAGGGAGGCTGGGAGGGAAGAAGAGAGGGAAACTGGGAGGAAAATTGGGAGGGAGGGGGAGAGGCAGGCTGGGAGGAAAGTAGAGAGGGAGGCTGGGAGGGAGG